TTGGTCATATTGTTCGGAATTTTTCTGAATGATAGAATTCGGAATGATGATATCCGGAAAAGAACCATAGTATCCGACATAACCTAATGGATCATTAAGATGAAGTGGAAATGGGCCAGTCTTAAAACTTTAAGACTGATTCTCAAGTGGCAGTCTCGTACCGGTTAGTGTAATATACGATGGCCCCCAAATTGATGAAGTGCCGACCTGGTAAGCTATGGGAAGGCGAAAGATGCAGGTGGCTTGAAATCGTGCTTCCTTGTGGGAGATCTATGTTCAACAGTGGACTTGTGAAGTGCTGTATTATAATTGTTGAAATTCATACGATCATTCTGTAGAATGTATAAGGACATTCTGTAGGCAAATAAGAAAGCAACTAAATCGCTTAACAAAACTCCGAAACATCTTGTGGTATAATCACAAATCGTTTTTGTAGTTACTGAGATGAAAGAAAGCAGAGCAATATTATACAATAAGTATTGTGAGTAAACTAGTTATCCGAGACAGGGGAAAACGAAAACAGAATAAGGCCAGCAGCATCTTCATGTATACACCTAAAATTAATTTAAAAAAAACTGCGGTTGCCAGCACAGATATATAGGTTAAGGCCTTTATACGGCAGAAGAAATGCACTCTAGCTATGCATGGTATAGCACCAGATATTTCATGTAAACCGTATTTAAAAAAAATTACACATTTTGACGCTGCCACATAATACATCTTAAATTTGGTCTGTTTTGTTAAAAATTATATTATTTTGTTCACAAAGTTAAAAGATACTGTACAGAGGAACTTGAGGCATACTGAAAGACTGAGTCATAGTGTTACGCCAAGCACTAGCCTCTATAGGTAAAATTGTTCAACTATGTGTATAAAATTTACAATGCATTACCTATAGAGTTTGAATCACTGCCAAAAGTACGTTCCGCAGGATTGTTAAAAAATGGCTTAAGGAACAATCAGAGCATTGTAGCATCGAATAATTTAGAATTAGGCATCGAAGTTAAAAAAAAAAACAATTAAGTACAATTATATAATTTGTATTAAACTAAATGTAATAAAAAAATTATGATAATTTATATTTTTTATAATTGAAATAATGTTAATTATTATATTTCCTGTAAAAATATTTATGTATTAGGTAAATTTTTGTATGTCATCATTATTACAAAGCATGCTGGACTTAAATAATTATGATTATAATCACGCCGTCTGCCAGGCGTGGCAAATATGGCAAAATCCATTCTTAACGGCAATCTATAGGAAAGGCCTATGTTTAGCAGTGGATTTTTGTAAGACTGTCATGAATTAATAATAATGGATAAAGAAAAAGAAGACATTTTTTTTTGCTTAAATGACATTGTAAAAGTATCTGTAGTGAAAAGCTGTAATTTCGCATGTTATTTGCCAACAATGACATTTTAGAGCTCACGCTTCGAAACGATCACGTGACAGTCCGGGAGGAGCTTTGTATTAATTAAGATGTCCGCAGAGGCTCGCAGATAATATAAGCCTTCTGAATTATAACACTTATAATATGTGTGTATTCATTTATGTATATTTCAGACACACTAGTTACTAGAAAAGACTAGGTAGCAGGACTCTTTTTACCGGGTAGGTAGTTACAGCGTCTACATTGCTGTGATCCGATGTGAAGGCTATAATCACAGGCTGTGAAAGCTTCCACTATAGTCGTAAGAAGTGTTAATGCATCGGTATTTTTCATTATTTGAATTTGGCTACAGGTGACAATGGAATGCAGCACTTACCACCAGGTAAATACATAAAATTACAAGCTATCACTATTAGTACTTTCTTTTTTTATTAACGTGGTGAATTCCTAATGGATATATATCGCTGCGTGGACAACGGAGAAGATTATGCTCAACTTTTACCAGCTAATACCTTACGGCGCTCCATCAACATAGACAAGTGTTTCCAAGATCTCTTTTTAGTCCGCAACCAGGCTCTTTAATCGCTTTGCTTTTCTAGAAGTACGTTAAGGGGAGTACTTGTTACTTGCAGGAACCACGCAGTCTTATCACAACGGTGATACTTACGAGACATGGCTCTCATCAGGAGTTACGTTAACTATAAGGACCCGACCATAGACTATTATTTAAACGTGGTGAATATATACCATTTGACTATTATGTGTTTGACAATAGACATTGATAGTATGAATGTTTACAGTGAATGTTGTTTTGTTTGATGTACATGTGTCACATATATCTTTCTAATGTATGAAACATAATGTTTGTTTGGTTGTCCTTTATGTGCTGCCATACCGTTCATTAGATTGCGGTAAAACTTTGTCAACATATTGCTTGCACTTGCGCGAAGTTTATAGGCGTAGTACAATCAACATACAGTAGGTGGCGCGCGTATCGTTCCGACAAATGTATTTGAAAGTGATATGTGATTCAATTTCAATAAATTTTTATCATTCTCAATTAAACAACATAACCCTTCTAAAATTAAAGCAATATTTCCACAAATATTTCTAGCAATGCAACAAGCTTCGGGTGCAAACTTCAACTCTGTCAAATTTTACACATTTCCATGTGCGCAATATACTTAAAAAAGAGTGCAAAGTTTTCCCTTCGGATATTAATATATAGATTGAATAAAATATTCTATTAAGTTATATTTCAATATACTGTACACTACAGCACAATGACAGAATGTTTTGTTTCTTAAGCACAATTAAATTAGCATTACCCAAATTAATTAAAATTATTAAATATGAAGACATAGAAAATATGCCGCTTCATCTAGATAGGAAAAACAATAATCCAATTTAACGGTTCTAATCGAGGAGAATTAGAACTCATAAAGAAAGCCGGCCTCTTGTTCTTGTCGTGTACAGCTGCTTTGTAGATTGGAGAGGCGAAAAATTCCTAATTTGTTCCCTCGAGGAAAGGCAATAATCGACTGTCCGGACCGGAGGCTCAAATTAATTTGGATTTTATAATGTACATACCTACGTATCGAAACAAACCGCTGGCAACTTTCCAGACAATGTAACAATATCGAAGCTATTAGGCTTTAGTTGTTGCTTCAGTAATTTCGATATACTTAAAAAACAAGGATAATAATCATATGTATTTATAGTGATGAAAATTAACCAAAATTTATTCTTTCATACATATATTGACGGCTTCGTGGCATAGTGGCTTAGCAATGATTTGCAGCGCTGGGGCCGCGGGTTCGAATCCCGCACGGAGCAAGTATTTGTATGGCCAGCAAATAATTGTTCCGGGTCTGGATGTTTGTCCTTGTGCAATTAATATTTGTAAACTACTTCCACGATACAGGAGAAAATCCTAGTGTGGGTGTAACTTTTTTTTAAATGAAAATTAAAATAAAAAAAATTATACATACCTAATTCGTCCTAAATCTTAATAAATACACATGTCACGCTTGTAATGCCATGGATGGGGAGAGTCCAGAAAGTAAGCGGGCAACTTGGACCACGTTAAGCAAAAAAAAAATGGTAGATTGAAAATTTTAAAAGTGGTAAATAATTTCATTCCCTTAGGTACCTATTATTAAGATATGTGTGTATATATATGTTTATGCCTTCGCAGTGTTGTCAATGTCCTAAGGTTAATTGGCAGATAATGTTTTAAGCATTCCGTCCTCCTTTTGACCCTTTACTGGTTGTAAGGTTTAATAAAAATCAAATAAATAAATAGGTGGCTAGCCCATTGCTAACAGAAACACAAACTCAATATTATTCATTGTCTTTTACGACATGCCAGGCTAATAACACTGTAAACATATTCTTTATTGTCCCAGATAAACATAGGACTTCTAAGTCTGACACTTACTTTTTTTACAAGCCACTGCTTGACTACATTACCACCTGATGGTTAGTGGTGATACAGCCAAAGATGTTAAAGCACACTGATTTAATAAAACAAAAAGCCTATTCACTTTTGCTTTAAAAACACACATTGTTATCGGAAGGAAAGACAGATGCTGGCAACTTACATTCCCTTGTTGTACACATAAAGGACGATAAAGCAAATCGTTTGGTTCGAATACGTGGTAAGTCGACAACAAAAGGGTGAAGACTGACCGAGACTCTGTTTGGCCAATGGTAAAAGGGAGAGTTAAGGAATTAAGTTATGCGAAACCTGCGCACTAGTTACTTTGCGCCTGCCTCGAACAGGATGGTGAGATTGGTTACCACCATTATCATTTCGAAATCAGGGGAAGTCTGATAGCTTCGTCTCTCCGTATTACACGATTTCATTAAAGCGTGGTTCATGATGTATAAAGCGTCCAGGTACCACAACTTGGACACGGGTAATACCGCGGGAAAAATAATAGTTACACATATCAAGGCAATCATTAATTAGCAAAGCAATTACAGTTAGAAAATACAATTACTATATTTTATTTATCTGTTATACCTGTCATAATACTAGGTGAAGTGTACAAAAGTTTTACCACCACGCTCATGTTCATTAAAGTATAATGTATGAAGCTCCCAGTGGGTTCTCTATTACCAGCAAAGTAGTATTTTTAGTGTCGTCTTCATAAACTTACGTACGTTTATAAATCGAATGATATCTTTGCGACTAAAAGTCTTAAACGTTACTATCTTTATTTAAATAAAGGAATGATTCTATTTGCCACAATTAAAAACAATACATACTTAAAAATCATAGTAGTTCATTTCACGTGGCTGCCGAATACTGGAGCCGATTATACACGACCGAGTGTGTCACCAAGACGAGTGTGCGTGAGGTTGAGTGGAGCCACAGATTTAGTAACTAACTAACTATACTATATCTGTGACTAGAGTAGAGTAAACGCGATTCAGCGTAACCGACCCGAGCGTGACGATTTAATTAGGTTCACAGTTCAGAAAGAACGCGTCTAAAGATTTAACTTCAAATAAAGTAACAAAATAAACCAAATCATAATTTGCGTCTCCTGCAATGGCCCTATTTTTTACTTTTATTTTAGTGGTGTATTAATTTACTTACCAGCGTCAGTAGCCATTGGAGCCAGACCGACACCATCTTTAAACCACCTGGTGACCACAATATGAGTTTTCACTGATGAAGTAGGTGCGCACGTTAGCAACGCTGCACCACCAGCGACTCCATGCGTAGGTTGTATCCTCACTTCCCAAGGGACGTCCATCACTATAACAAAAATATATTTTAGTTTAATGCAAATATAATTAAATTTGTACCAGTACACTTAGTCGGAATTTACAAATTTATTTATTTATAAACCAACAGCTCTTATGAATATACAATTATAACAATTTATAAATGTTTCACTGTATAAATCTCAAATGATATCTCCTATCCTTAATACATAAAAATAAAAATAAGGCTAACAAGTGTAGTGAAGTATAGCAAAGTGTAGGGCGACCCCCCACGACATGGAGTGACCACCTGGTGAGACATGCAGGAAGTCGATGGATGCAGGTGGCTCAGGACCGTGCTTTGTGGCATTCCTTGTGGGAGGCCTATGTTCAGCAGTGGACTTGTGAAAGGCTGTAATGATGATGATGATGAAGGCTAACAAGGTGAAGCTAGTAAACTAAGAGTAATATAATGCAGTATACACAAACACACGCGAGCGCACACACATACACACAACGTGTGTATAATACAGTAATGCCCTATAAAGTTTACGTGAACACTTTCAATTTGTTATTTGTGGGTAATTTAATACGAAGATCAAATACTACTTGCGTATTGTAAAACGCTTCGAACGTACGCGTAATTAATACTTTCAATACAGTTTATGTCCGAATAAGATTTGCAATATACGTATTGGCAAGCCTTTTGTACCTAGGATTAGTTTTACGGAACAAATCCTAGTTTTTTTTTGTAACTTTTTTTCACCATTCTACTATCTACGTGTTTTGTCATTGTCAGTTTCTTGTCAAGTGTAATGTCAAAAAAAATATATGCATTGTATATATGCATTAAATATATATATACATTGTATAATAATGTGCCTAGATGGAATCCCTGTGGAATTCCATAGGGAATATTGATGAAGTTAGACCTATATGAACCAACTACTACGGTGTGATCTTTTCGAAAGATAGGATTTCACCCAACGTAACAAGTATCCATGTATTCCCATACTTTCTAGTTTCGCGAGCAAGATGATGTGGTCTACGCAATCAAAAGCTTTTTCGAAGTCTCAAACACAAAAAGTCAACATGCCTCCCACGTTCCATATTATTAAGAACGAATTCAAGAAACTCAGTCAACTTAGTAAAATAAGTAACAGACGAGCGTCGAATCAAGAAACCGTGCTAAGCGTGAATTATACTTTTCGCTATTGTGCTTTTGCGATTGCGATTTGGTCGTATTTTGCTGAAAGTATTTAAAATGTAAATTGGCATATAGTTTTCAATTTTGGATTTAGATGATTTATCCTCTATGTATTTTATTACAGAACGATTAAATATAGAAAGATTTATCCTCTATGTATTATATTTATGGATAGCCCAGAACTCCATTAAAATGGTTCTTACGATTGTATTGCACTGTTGTACTAGCACTAGATTTATACATTGAGTTTGGTACTGTATGATGGCGGTGGTCAGGAGATGTTTTGCAGCATCTTCTTTATAACAACTAAAAGCGAAACTGCGGTTTTGATAGGCCGTAATGGTAATTTAGAAAATATTTTTTCAAAATTAGTTATCCAGTATTTTAAATTTAAATACATTACCTAAGCTAGGTCTCCTTTTAATGATATCAATACCCGTGTTATTTAATTAATACTGTGACGTTTAACTCGAACTCCATATATTTAGCTAGTTTTTGTTTATTTACACAAACATCAATTGTTACAATAATAATATCCTTCAGAACGGATTTCGGTCCGTGACCGATCCTTGGCCAGTCTCAACGGAAATAAACCATCTGCACAGGTCAGTGTTATAGTGCCCAAATGTTATAGTGCCCAGTGTTACAGTTGCACTCCTATAGCTGTTCTCATCGGGTTATATGAGTGAAAGATCAACAGCTTTACTTGCTTTTCGAGGCACCCAGGTGAAACACCGCCATGTTTCTGACTCCGGGATGCTACTGAGAATTTCTCGACAGAAAAATCCACGCAATTAAACCTCTCATTTAACGAAAGATGGTTATTTCGATATTATAAACAGACAATTCCATTTTAACGTGGTAAAGCCATGCTGCAGCTGTGTTGGTAGTGTAGTTGTGGCACGAATGGGTCGGCTTGACCGGGGAAGGACCACGCTCTCACAGAATACCAGCGTAAAATAGCAGTTTAAACTGCTGTGTTTCGTATGGTGAGTGTAGGGAGCCGGAGACCCTTTTTACTGGAAGGGAGGCATTCTATATTGGTCCTCGCGGCTGACAACGCATCTGCATTTTGATTCGCAAACGAGGATAAATGTGGATGTATATAGGTTGCCACAGTCCATCCGATGCCGCTTGCCATCGGATGGACTGTGTGCTCGTTTGTCACCCGATCATATAAAAAAAACTGTATAGCGTAGAATTATTTATATAATATCTTCTTATCACATAATATTATGTGAAGCATATTGTAGTGCCCTGTAGACTCCCCTTTACCTCCGACAATATACATTTATAAAATTAGTATTAAGTATAGAATAGGATTCATTATAATTAAAGTTCTTGTACAAGCAACACGTCTCCTTCATTCAGCACCTTCCGAGTTCCGACATTACATGGAGACCCTGCCAGGCGGTGCGCTGCGACAATGCACGCGCACCGCCGCGGCCTATTACTTAAAAGAAAAAAAAAATATTATAAGAAATCTAAATTAAATTATGAAAAAATATTAACGGCAATACCGGACGTGACGAAAAATAATAAGAATATAAGAAAAGGACTGATATTACTATTTTTTAAAGAAAATTACAGAAAGTATTTAATAAACTAATGAAGATCAACTTAAAAAGATAAACTTTATGAAAATTTCAAAGTTAATATGAAGAATAAAATACTTAATATTGATAATTATGAGAAGTATAATGAAGAAAGGAACAGCAGTTGTACCCTAGGAAGCTAAGCCCAGAAGAATGTGAAATTTGAGTCAGAAAGTACAAAGAAGATATTAAGAGGTAACTTCCCACCTTTGTGATTTTATCTCCATCTAAAACTTTATTTATCAATTTGTGATTGTTTTATGTTCTTTTTGCTATTATATTTTATGAATTTAAGTATTAAATATTCTATATTTAATACACCTATGTTTAAATTGAAAGTAATTATCAGATAATTTACGATTCAATTGATTTTTTAATATTTTATTACTGTATCTGAAAAAATAATTAAAAAGCAATAATTATAAATTAAGTTATGTATGCACTTCTGTGGCATGTTTGATTAAGGTACAAGACGATTTTATATTCACTTTTTTCAGTTATTGTCTTATATTATTTTATAACTGTGTCGTGCAAAAATTAATGAAATAATGTGATTTATTACATTTTTATGTCCTTAAATTTACTATAGTTCATCATAAATTAATTTTTTCATATTTTATAGTAAAATAACACTTTTTCTTTTAACGACCACAAACTAATCTAGATAAGTTAAATTCAATTTCAATTCAAAATTCAAATGTAACAATCTTTACACAGTGAATATAATAAGTATGCTAAACTTTTCTTATGAATGATATATCTATAAATATGACATGTTATGCAATGAGCTTATCTTAAAACAATAGAGAGCAACATGCGATATATGAACGGGTGCATAAAAATAAATCATAACAACATTCTAATAAAGACGAAAATAATAATATCAAAAAATAAATAAGAAATGACCTGTAAACACGTGGATAATAATAAATATAAATAATAATAACGTGTAACATAAATATGAAAATAATGAAATACTGTAAAATAAAATAAAAATAATTAAGAGGTTTAATAATAATGTTCCCTAACAGTTAAAAACGGCAAAAAAAAAAATAGACTGACAAAAATGTTATCCAATTTGTACAAAATTAGAATGTATGTAATTAAAAGATATGAGGAATGGAAGAAAAAAATGTTCGAAAGTGTGAATACGAATGATCGAGTTGCTAAGTTTCCTCAATATTGGACTGATCACCCAAATATTGATGAATGCTTAAACTCTTGGTATGGAACTCATTATGAGCGAGAATAATGCAAATTAGTATATGGAAGTGGAGCATGCAAGTGAATAAAAATACCCGATACACATTAAGATGTAAAAAAAAAAAAAACACGGGTCATGTATAAATAAAGAAGCAAAATGGTTTATTAAGAGAATAGAAATAAAACATATTATAATGACCTTGATAAATAAATCATGGAGAGATACGGGAACGTCCATCACTGGTAAAGCATATAGTCCTCGAGCAGGGTATGTTTCCATGATTGGATGATAAAATCGGAAGTAACGGGTACTAGGGAACAATACCTTCAGTACAAATGAGATGTGAACGAGTTTACTCATATTAGTACTGTTGGGGACCAGAGAAGTCTTAAATTTGTTACCCTTAATAATGGTACATAGGGGTCACATCCTTCATTGGATCATAGTGTGAACTTAGTTTTCCTCCGTGACAATTGTTGGAGTCCTTTTAAAATGACTTAAAAGTTGACCTCAAGGTTGTGCGCACAACCCAAGGTACAGTTCTACCTTGAGATAGTATGATAAAAAAAAAAGTTAATGTACCAATAAAATGAAATGAATGTTATGAAAATGTAATATAATACCCAAGTAAATGGGGGGCCCATATTTATAAAGTACCCGCGTGATAAATATCACGAAATAAAATATAAATGAAGTGAATTAATACTCCGATTCCCGATATCTAATTAATAAATAAATATATAAGTGAATTGAATTACGAAAATAAACTAAGCTAGCTAAAAGGTCAATAAGAATAAATTATTATGAAAGGAAAGAAAGTATGTACATACAAGAATTATAAAAGAAAACATAAATACATATATGTATAACTTAAGGCCTAATAATTTAAACAAAGTAAATAGGAGTAGTGGTACTGGTATGAAATTAAGTACAATGAAATGAGAAAATTTTAAATCATAAAAGGACATGACAAAAAATAAAATGTGTTACATACAAGGTATTAAGGGGATCCCCGACCAAATCTATAAAGTGAGATAGGTAGTTAT